AAGATTTTACACCTATTCCTTGCAAATTTTAGACTTCTAATGTAACACTATCAGTACATTAGGGGTACATAATCTTCAAAAACATCTCTTCACTTAATGATAAAGTTTTCACATTAGTATTGTTTTTAGCCCAATGATTCTGCTAAAGTGGATTTAAAATTGACCAAAACCTTACTAACTGCTTTGAAATCATATTGACAGGGACAGAGACACACTTGAAACTTCACCCACCCCCCCTTCCTGGGTAATGCTTTGCACAAAATTTAATTAAAATTGACTAAGCTGGATAGAAGTTGAAAATATGAAAAATTACAGTCAAACAGATTATGAATAACTTTCAGCACATCAGACATAAAGAAGTGATCCTTAAATAAGATACACCTACAAGATGAAGCTGTTTTATTCCTTTGAAGTGATATCTAGTAATGTTTCTTTCCCTGTATGCCACCTCTATCAGAACAAAATGTTATACATGTATTAACATAACCTATGACCGTGTAGTACCCCAGTATTTACTTTACAATTAATTAACTTCTGGAATCAACCCTCAGATGCCCTTAAATCAAATGATTCTAAACTGGCAAAGGTAAAGGGCATCTGAAGAATTAAAAAAAAAATGATAGTACAAACAAGCAAACAGTGTGCATGAAAATGTTGGCAAACACTAGAAAAAATACCAAGGTACTTTCTCAAACTTAACATGAATACTAAAGAGGTTTTATGTAGCTGTATTGCACATACCAAAAGCTTTCCTGCAGTTTAAGGTTGGTTGCCTAGTAGTTATGTAGTATGTACAAGTTTTTCCCTCTATCTCTTCTAATTTAACAAGCGAAAATGTTTCTAAAAATCTTATTGTTGGCATGAAGTATTCCTGTTCATTTTACTGATTACTTACAATTGTCCTATTTCTGAGGGTCATCTTCTGATGAGTGTGTTCTCTGCAATGTTCACAATTGAAGTTCCTCTTTGACCTGTTACATATTGAAAATCCTCAATGAACATGATTATGGTTTTAATTTCCATTGTAATTATTGATTACTTTTATAAAAAAAAAAATCTAAACCAATTTATTGTAACATAATACTTAGGAAAATATTTATGTAATATCAATGGAAAAAAGAAATCATTATCTCCCGTTATCCTAAAATCACAAGTAAGCATTAATCATATAAATTCACATACGTAAACCCATTAGCTTTTTGTGCTATTAAATCATAGTCATCGCTGTGCAATAAAGGAAATCAAGTACTAATCCACAGCTTTGTGGCAATAAAGTTACTATCCCCGAGTAAAAAGTGACAAGCCCAAATATAGAGGCAAAAATTAAAAAGTAACATTGAAAAAAAGTTCATCGTAAAAAAGTAAGGGTATTAATTACAGATGATTCTTTTTAAAATTAAAGTTTAATTTTCGCTAGTAAAATTTAATCATATATAAATTAATGATTTAAAAAAATGAAAAAAAGATTTAAAATATTCCTATTCTGGGCATTCACTAGTTCGTCTAATTAAAACGAAGCAAAAGTCATTTTGTTTTCATCTTGAATCATTTAAAGCCATATATGGCGTATATACAATGAAAATTATTAGACTAAAATTATAAGAACTTATTATTTGTATCATTACTTTATATAAACATGATAAAGATAAAAATCTAAGTCAATTGCGTTATAAAGATATCAAAATTTAATTTGGATTCTCGGAATTTTCTCCGACTTGGAAGAAAATACAAAAGATTTAAATAACACTTTACAGAGAAGATAAAATCGTATTATTAGATAAAACGAGGTGTTCTCTGTGCTCCGAATTGTATGTAAAGCTTTAATTTAAATGTTTAACTATACAGGTAACTCTTGATGGCTCAAACTTCGATCTCTTGAAGTTCTTGATCGCTCAAAGTCAGTCTCCGGTCCCGATTTTTTCCCCTATATAACTAAGCAAATTTACTCTTGATTTCTCGAACTCTTGATCTCTCGAAACCCTTGATCCCTCGAAGTCAAAATGCAGTCCCGCTATGCATATTCTATTGAAATTTACCCTTGAAACCTCGAGGTGGTCATGCGTATACAATGTTACATCATTAGCGATTTTACCTGGACATTTAAATGGCCCCAGGCAGAAGACGCGGGTTTCTTTACTTAATTTTGTATTTTTCAAAAATAAATTTTTTGATCAGATACGCCATATATGGCTTTTAAAAAAACGCAACATAATTGCATGACACTTATCATTGAGCTGATTGAGTGAATGTATACAATTTAATAATGAGATATCTGTGAGGCATATATGTACAAGCAAATATTGCTATATTAAACAAAGAAAAGGGGGGAATTCAAATTAGGAAATAAAATATCGTTTTTAAGTAAATCAGTCTTGTAGTACTGCAAAATGGATGCAGTTGTGAAGATTTATGGATAATATGAGCATGCTGTCTGGAATATTTCTATATTAGGGAATTTAATAGCAAAAAAGAGTGAAAATACTGGTGGTGCTTTAGTGTTAGATCTATACCCTAAAAAGGGCATGGTAATCAAGGAATCAAAAGGGCCTTTTGTGTTGCGACAGGATCTCACGAGGGCACTTTCAAAACAAATGGTTAATGTGTTTAAAATTACATTAAACATTTATTAATTTTTACATACTTGAAAATGTTTAATTACTTTTAATATCCTTTCATATTGAAATTTTTATTTAAGCAAGAATTTAAAGATAAATTCATATATCTGTTTACTAAATTAGTAAAAAAAAATTTTTAAATACCAACACAATTAGCACTCTTATGCTGACATGACAATTATTGAAACAAAAGGAATATAATAAAAAAAGGCATTTACATGCAATTTCTTTAATCAAAAAAGTAATAAGGTTACTCTTGAGAAAGTAATGGAATTTCTTTTCATGTATTGCATGTGTATTTTAAAATTCCTAATAGCCCAAGGGGATTCCTCAGTGCAGAAAACCACTAGCCCAATCTCAAAATGAAAGCCCCGGGTGTAGCGCGATGCTAATTACACACCCATCATGTGAAATAGTTATAGTAGCCCTATATCAATTTCAGTATTGTTTTAAATTAATTAAAACAAATGACAAAAACAATAATTTAAAAGAAAATAAAGCAGACACTCATCAGTAATGCAATGAATCTCTTAAGTTACATATCAGATGAGATAAACTTACATACAATTATTTAGTTCTTGTCAATTATCCCATTTATCATCATCTCAGCTCACTTTGCGATTGTAATACTGTCTACATGAACCAGGGACCTATATACTAACTTATACTAGTATATAGGTCCCTGCATGAACCGATAATTTACAGCTGATTTATTAACACACGATTGTTAAAATTATCATTTCCCTTTCCAATATACATTGTCAGAACATACTTAGTTGGTTATGATCTCAAATTAAATAATAAACACTTTCGATTTATTAAACATTAACTAACAATATACGATCATTTACTAAATACTTCTCGCCCTCAAGAGAGTTAAAAAGACAGAGAAAATTCAAAATACAAACAAGTGCAACTTAGGATTAATTGTTCCGATATATCTATTTTAATTTTGTGCACAATTGTTTTCAAAATTACATTAAAATCTATTTTCCCTAAACAAGAACCCAGCAATAGATAAATATTAATCCAATAAACTTACCTTTTCTCTTGTCAATCAGAAAATCTTGTTGACATTAAGTGTTTCTTAGTCGCCATATTTTTTTCCATGAAAACAAACGTTGTTATGATCAGGATCAACGGAAGTTGATTTTCGGAACTCTCGAGAATTTAGAGTTCCGAATGTAAAACTGAAACAACAAAACACGGTGCGTCCGTGAAAGCAACTTTTTTAGACACTTTTTTGGACAAATCGTCGTGTCCAAGTTTTGTTGGGTACTAACCTGCAAATACCCAATTAGGGTGTTTTAAGCATATTCAGCGACACTTCTTATTGGGTATACCCAATAAGCAAAAAGTACCCAATAAGTACAATCTTGGCATGAAAAATACCCAATAAATGCACTCTCGTAAACACGGACGGACAGACGGACGGAAGGACGACGGACAAAATGTGATCAGAAAAGCTCACTTGAGCCTTCGGCTCAGGTGAGCTAAAAAAGCATACCTGAATTCCTTTTAATCATTGGAAATCGCTAGATTTTTAACAAACACAACAAAATCATCCTAGCGTTTATACGGAAAAATCAATGGAACCGAAACCGGAAGTGCTCTCCTCTCAATGTCAAACTGGAGAAGTGGGAAATAGATAGTTTTCAGTAGACCCAAATTAACAAGAGTTATTTCCCTTCAGTCGCCATATTGTGGGTCAACAAGCTCATATTCCTTCATAATTCAACCAACTTTAACTTTTTATACTGGCTATTGTGGGCTGGAAATCATTGTTTTTCTGACAGTTATACATTTGTTAGAGCCTCCTTTATTTCATAATGTTTATTCCATAACGATTTCCCCCCAAATACTTCTGCTACGCCCTCTTATATTTAAAAGAGGGAAAATTACCTGGTTGACCCACAAGATGGCGGTCAACTGGAAATAACTGTTGTTAATATGGGTGTACAGAAAACTATCTATACATGTAATGAGACATTATGTAACTATTATCAGTAAGGCACAGGCACTTTCGGTAAGCCCTCTTGTTATCCTAATCTCAACCCTAATTTACATGTATGGAAGAAGATAGACCGGAGTGTGAGACACGTTTTCCAGCAGCAGAATCTAGCGGATTTAGAGGACGACCTTGTTTCCATATGGACTTAGAAATTTTGACTAGTATATTTAAGTTAGTGTTAAAAAAATCTAGTACATATATGTATTGACGAAACTAGAATACAAATTCGTAAATGATGGAAAAAAGTACAGATACCCTTTTTCTCTATATGCATAGTACTTAATTATGTTTTATACACCATCTGTATTTGACATCCTTCAAATATGTTCATTAAACAATTATACCTTCATCTCTCTGCCATACCTTGATCACACCACTCACCCGCTGTTCCGCTGTATCCAGATACTGTCAGTTTATATTTATTGTATTCATCTCCTATGTAAAATGTAGAATACACAGCATAAGCCTGTTCTCCGCTAAAGCTCTGGAGATTAATTCGGAGTTCTTGGTTCCGATCCTTGGTTAAAGAGTGGATTGCGTCATTCCCTATATACAAATTTTTCCCTTATAAGAGCTTGTGTAAAATTTCCCTGCATAGAGCCTTTTAATTGTTAAAAAATTCTTAAAGCTGTGGATTGGTTGAAATATAGCATCTGATTTATGGCATCAATTTACCATAAGTACAGTTTGTTATGTCTTGAATTATTTCCCTTTTTTAATATTTTGTGCTTTTATAGGCTCTAGTAACTTTATTTGTTCTATTTTAGGTTCTCTATACATAAATCGAAAACAAAAAATCATAAGTACGAAAAGAAGTATGGACGATTGCTATTATATTTTTTTCTTACCTGAACTGTATTTAGATTGCATTTAAAGTAGCGGTTGAGATGTTCCATACATACCTAACCAGTAGTTTTTAAAGGCATTTCCAAACCCCTCTTTGTACTCGTTCCATGTCCTGTAAAAATCCAAGTCGCCATCTTCTCTTTTCTGAATCGTCTGTAAACAAGATTCATTTATTTACTTAATTGGCACATGTCACAAATATGAACAAGAGGCCCAGGGGCCACACCGCTCACCTGAGCAACAGGTGGGGTAAATGCAAAAATCAGTTTAGTAAAAAGTTTTTAAAAATGATATAATTACAGTGAAATATCAGTATCTCGAAGTTGAGGGGACTTGGACACGACTTCGAGATAACAAGGGGTTCGAGATATCCGAAATTATCTTCCAAAGTCGAATCAATAATTTCCCGTTTTTCTTATACATCTTCATGCATAACACTATCCTGTATTACCAAACATGTTGTCTTGACGGTAAAGATTCAAGCATATTCGCAATAAATAATAAAATGTATTAAGAAAAACAATGTTGGTGTTTTCTTTATCGTCATAATTGAAAAACATTTTAATATACATGCCTTTAATCATTGCATATACAGCGATTTTACATTTTCCAGGCCATGCTTATGTGGTCAAACGGGATGTATCATTAGCGTTGTAGTTGAGGAACCTTCTCCGTAAGAAAAGAAAGAACGAATTTTTTAAAACTTTATTTGATTGATTTTAGAGCAAAATATTATTTAGAGCACTAAAAAAATCCGTATTTAAACTGTGAACTTGAATACTTTTAATAGCTTTCTTGTATTACATTACCAAGTTCTACTTAGGAACATATAGTTTACGTAACTAACAGAGCAAATGCTGAAATGACGGTCAAGGTTATCTATTTATACGCAGATAAACATGGATGTAATAAATCACTGCACTGTGCATTACGCACTGCAATTTAACTGTTTAAGTTCATATTGAAAAATTTTTTGTGTTTTATGAATTTACGATTTTAATTATATAAAGCATATTATTAAATGCAATATCGGTAATACTGTCTGTATTTAATTTCTGAATTGCAGCGAGTGGCTAATTGTTTTATCGGTCGTAAACTACACAAACACCCAAGCTGTCATACCAATTACCGTGTCACAGATACCCACCTGAACTTTGAATTAATTAAGATACCCCCGGTTTGAAAGTGTTAATCGCCACTGGCGAGAAAGTGTGAGGTCACGACGCCAGGTGTGTTCAGTAGACCGAAAAATTTACTGCACTTCGAGATAAGCCAGGTAAAGTAGGGCTTGGGACTTTGAATATACTTCGACATAAGCGGGATATTCGAGATTACCTTGTTCGAGATATCAGTAGTTTTTTTTAAATCATATATATAGAGAATACGGCCGGGACCGACGATCAACTTCGACTTAAGCGGGGTATTCAAGATATCCCATGATAGAGGTACTGATATTTACCTGTAAATTGGGTTCAAGGGAGAAAGGGGTGAACAAACTTAAAGCTACATTTCCTAATGATACTTTTGAATTTAGATATGAAACATAATGTCAGTGGTATTTATGACCAATCATGGTTTTGCTTTTCCTGAGAAGAAGAGTTTTCCTATGTATTCCTATCTTAAAGTTTGATAACCCATTGTGCCCCATCCTACCCCCGGGGGTCGTGCCTTGAACAAACTTGAATCTAAGGTACAAGAAGATGGTTACACATGAGATTCAGCTTTCCTGGACCAATGGTTCTTGAGAAGATTTTTAAACAATTTTTCTTTGTATCCCTATGATAAAATTTGATACACCATTGTGGTCCCCCCTTACCCCCCGGGGGCCATGATCTGAACAAACTTCGGTCTACACTACATTAGGATTCTTCCACATGAGTTTCAGCTTTCCTAGCCGGTGGTTCTTGAGAAGATGATTTTCGAAAGATGCCATTACTTATCTCCCGTTAGAGGATAGTGTGACCCTTTATTTGAACAAACTTGAATCCCCTTTAGCCAAGGCTACTTTGTGCCAAGTTTGCTTGAAATTGGCCCAGTGGTTCTTGAGAAGAATTACAAGGGCTCTCCAAAAAGTTCGTGAACAATGATGATTTTGTGAAAATAAATCATTTTTATTGATGTAACTTTATATTTTTGTAAAAATCGGGGTCTTTAAATGTCGCAAATAGTGTGTACGAACCAAAGTTAAAATGCCATAAACTTTGAAAAAAAAAAGTGTTTGGATTAAACCGATCATTTTTTATATAACAAGAGGCCCACGGGCCTTATAGGTCACGTGAGTATTGTGCAACAACTTTAAAACATTAAATTTAGTTCGTTTTTTAAACCAGAGGCCATGAAATTCGCAATTCACAATTTTGAAAGAGGCACCATTGCTTATCATAATTATCATAATTATAGACTTAGCATACTTACTCTACTTAATACTCAAAGGTAGATCAGAGTAATAAAGAGAAAATGCAATTCCACTTTATAAGTAGTTGTCCACATCATCCCAAATGAACCACTGACATTGGGGCCACATATTTCAAAATTTTGCAAATTTTATCATAAAATGATTGATTAATACCAAAGAGCAGATTTCAAAGCATTAATTTATTTTCAGACAAACTATGTACCCCCCCCCCCACCCCTGACCCAGGAGGGGGCATAAAAAATAACCATTTTGCTAGATGCACCTTTCTTCATCATAAATATATATTCTTGGATCATTGGCATCAAACCCAGGAGCAAAGGAAAGATTTTCAAAGAATAAATGTATTTTCACGATATAATCAATAGAGCCCCGCATTAACACCAGAACCCCTGACCCTGGGGCCATAAAATACACAATTTTGGAAGAGGCACTCTTGCTCAACATAATTATGTACTTACATAGTTTATTTAATACCCATAAGCAGAGAAGAAGATTTTCAAAGAGTAAATGCATTTTCACTATATGATCAATAGAAGCCCGCCCTAAAGCCAGAACCCCTGACCCTTGGGCCATAAAATTCACAATTTTGAAAGAGGCAATCTTGCTCAACATAACTATGTACTTAGTTAGTTCATGTAATACCCAGAAGCAGAGAAGAAGATTTTCAAAGATAACATGTAAATGCATTTTCACTATATAACCAATAGAGCCCCGCCCTAACACCAGAACCCCTGACCCTGGGGCCATAAAATACACAATTTTGGAAGAGGCACTCTTCCTCATCATAACTATATACTTTGTTAGTTTATTTAATACCCAGAAGCAGAGAAGAAGATTTTCAAAGAGTAAATGCATTTTCACTATATGACCAATAGAGCCCCGCCCTAACACCAGAACCCCTGACCCTGGGGTCATAAAATTCACAATTTTGAACGAGGCACTCTTGCTCAACATAACTATGTACTCAGTTAGTTTATTTAATACCCAGAAGCAGAGAAGAAGATTTTCAAAGAATTAATGCATTTTCACTATATGATCAATAGAGCCCCGCCCTAACAGCAGAACCCCTGACCCTGGAGCCATAAAATTCAACATTTTGGAAGAGGCACTCTTGCTCATCATAAATATGTACTTAGTTAGTTTATTTAATTTACAGAAGCAGAGAAGTTCGAGTTCCATATGTTTTTCGGGTGTATTCTACATATTTTTACTTCCATGCGTTCTCCAACTTTGCTTGATAACGAAAAGCAGAAAAAAGTTTGATTAAAATGCGGTGTATGGCCACACAACCATGTGAAAGTGAAGTTGAATGGCCCAAACTTGTCGTAGTTAACGAGAGTTCTGTTTCCTTTCACTGTATGACTTTATTTTACTTAAAACCTTTATAATTACCGCCCAAAAATCCTACAAAGCATACCTGAATTCCTTTTTCAAAGAAATCATTCATTTTCACTATATAATCTATGTAGCCCCGCCCTAGCACTCAATCCCCTGACTTTGGGCCATGGATTTCACAATTTTGGTAGAGGACTCAATGCTTATTACATTCATGTCAACAGTTTGCCTGCTTGATGTCCAGGAGTAAAGAAGAAGATTTTAAAAATTGCAATAATTTTATCGGTTTTGGCCCCATCCCCCAGGCCCCAGGGAGGGGGGGACAATCAAATTCAAAATTTTTGTTGCCCTTCACCCATAGATGCAGTATACCAAATTTGGTTAAAATTGGTTCAGTGGTTTCAGAGAAGAAGCTAAAAATGTTCAAATTTAACACACGACGCACGACACACCACACACGATACACGACACACGACGACGGACAAAACGGATAGCAATAGGTCACCTGATTTACTCAGGTGACCTAACAAGGTCAAAGATTTCAAGAAAATCTTTTGTAACACAAATAAATAGGCTATCATCTTTTTGAAATCTTAAGTATCGTTTACTATATAAACAGTGAAAATACCTTGGTATTAAACAAAAACCATAACAAATATGTTTCAAAACTCGACAGAAAAAACGAAGTCGGCTGTCCAAAGGAGCAGCATCCCATCAAAAATCTGTTTTAACACGTTGAAACGACTCCAGAAACAAAATATTTGTTCAGACAACTCACATTTGTCAGAATATGTTTAGTTTATTGATTTGAGATAGGTATATAGTTACGTTTTTTTTTCAACAGTGCGTAGAAATTCCATGTCAAACCAAGGCTTTGAAAAACATGTTATTAGTTGAAAATTGATATTTCTATTCATGACGTTGGTATAAATCTAGCCCAACACCGGACTGGACTGTGCAACCTGTGTATACGAATTGTTTTTATTTATAAAGTTCGTAAATGTTTGTGTATTGTTTTCAACTTAAAAAATTAAATAAATTATCATCTATACGAATAGATTATTGCTAGTGCTTTGAAGTATGATATAATAAAATAAATGAAGTGTGTGTTCATGAACATGTATTAAAAATTCAAAATCCAAATGTTTGACGTTATAATAAAATTAGTTTAACGTCAGACTGGTCTATGCGCACAATCCGCGACATTTAAAGACCCCAAATTTTACAAAAATATAAAGTTCCATTAATAAAAATTAAAATTTTCTGACTTGGTTTTACACAAGAAACATTTTGATATATATAAGATATATACAGAACCATTTTTTCTATTAAAAACGTCATTGTCCACGAACTTTTTGGACAACCCTCGTAAGATTAAAATGTGAAAAGTTTAAAACGACGA